TACTCACTTATAATTGATATACTTCCTCCGTCCGTTAGCTGCTTCCAATGTTCCGCCAATATGTTGTTTGGATTTTGGGTTTTGTTTTAGATTTCTGATCTTTATGACGATGTAAAATCTGGAGTAATTGGTGTTGATTCTGTCGTTTTCTCTGGAAGTTTTTGGCATCAAAGACAATAAATAAATTGAAGAATAAAACGGAAAGAAAATTACTGAGCTAATATTTAACTTTTACATCATCGTTGAGCCAGGAACTTTTATATTCATTGATAGGAGGGGAGGGGCCAGGAACTTTTATATTCATTGATAGGAGGGGAGGGGCCAGGAACTTTTATATTCATTGATAGGAGGGGAGGGAACAGGAACTTTTTTATTCATTGATAGGAGGGGAGGGGCGAGGAACTTTTATATTCATTGATAGGAGGGGAGGGGCCAGGAACTTTTATATTCATTGATAGGAGGGGAGGAGCCAGGAACTTTTATATTCATTGATAGGAGGAGAGGGGCCAGGAACTTTTATATTCATTGATAGGAGGGGAGGAACCAGGAACTTTTATATTTATTGATAGGAGGGGAGGAGCCAGGAACTTTTATATTAATTGATAGGAGGGGAGGTGCCAGGAACTTTTATGTTCATTGATAGGAGGGGAGGGGCCAGGAACTTTTATATTCATTGATAGGTGGGGAGGGGCCAGGAACTTTTTTATTCATTGATAGGAGGGGAGGGGCCAGGAACTTTTATATTCATTGATAGGAGGGGAGGGGCCAGGAACTTTTATATTCATTGATAGGAGGGGAGGGAACAGGAACTTTTATATTCATTGATAGGAGGGGAGGGGCCAGGAACTTTTATATTCATTGATAGGAGGGGAGGGAACAGGAACTTTTATATTCATTGATAGGAGGGGAGGGGCCAGGAACTTTTATATTCATTGATAGGAGGGGAGGGGCCAGGAACTTTTATATTCATTGATAGGAGGGGAGGGGCCAGGAACTTTTATATTCATTGATAGGAGGGGAGGGGCCAGGAACTTTTATATTCATTGATAGGAGGGGAGGGGCCAGGAACTTTTATATTCATTATATAGGAGGGGGGAGGGGGGCAGGATCCAAGTTTTACTGTTAACGTCCTTACCTCGAGTTAGGAGAGCCAACCAACCCCACTTCCACAGATATTTTAAACCACACAAATAATACATAATTATATTACGTCGCTCAAGATTAAAAACGTTGATTCCATCGTACTAAATGATAAAAATTATTTTGATAAAAGCACAGCTCTACTGTAAAAATATGAACATAATACAGACTATAACATTGAATCGTTGGTAAGAATCACTGAAAAAATCACAGCGATCAAACCTTAAGATTGGTCACCTATAGTAACCTATAGTAGCCTATGGTAACCTATAGTAACCTGTGATATAACGAAGATGGAGTCGTATCTTGATAGTTTTAAACTATGGTAACCTATAGTAACCTATGGTATAACGAAGATGGTGTCGTATCTTGAAAGATTTCTGTATTTATTCTCTAATCTAATTCTCATTCTTTCTGTAAATTGTCAACATGTTTCAAGAAATGGTTATTTTTGTATCTTTCTGGGTGTCACGAGATTTAATTTCTAAAAACTGCAGGCTTTGATCAATAACCTGCTGATTTCATGATAAATCGAGATCAAATTACGTTCTACTGTTCTACACCAGATTTGGCTAACGAAATGTTACTGTTCTGGTGGGCTGCATCCGCTGGCGTATAGCAATCCAATCAAATTGCTGTATTCTATGATATAAAAAATAGTGTCTATTGTTGTCAAGGTATGAGTGCGTAATATCTTGACATTGTAATAAAAACTGAAATGATGGATTCTCCAGAGTTCCTGAAATTCCAATATTTAGAATCGTTGGTGTAAAAACAGAAAGCGTATTAAGACTTGAAGAATATTAAACTATATACGCTCGTTTAATCTCGTCTTTCGGAATTACTTTACATCGAATTTATTTTCCCTGACACAATTTATTCCACTGGAATCTAATTTCAACTGTAAATCACAAAGCTTGTATGGTAATGAAATTTTACACAGAATACAAGAATAATTTCACGAGTTTGAGGGAGAATAGCCGTCAGCATTGAATGTAGAATTACAGGCAAGCTAAGCCAATTTATTTGACTGTTGGAAACTGAGATCCTGCTATCTGATATAGGTTATTTCTTTCTCGACATTGTACAGACTGTTCACAATGAATTTCCTACGACAGTTGCAAGCGAGGACGTCAGTACCGCTGCCCTGGTTGCAAACTGCATGACATTATCTGCAGATTAGATGCAGAAAATCTGAATGTGAAACAAACGTTTCAGGCAAGTCAATCTTCAGATAAATCAACTCGTGAAGTAATTTCGATAAGTGTATCCTTTAAACAAAGTAAAACTTCAATGGAAAAGACAAGTTTAAATCACCTATATAACATTCAACAACCGCGAATATAGAATTTTCAATTCAAATAGACGCCTGGAGAATTTGAAATTATTCTGATTTCGATCCGTTATTATGAAGGCCTGCTTTCATCATACTTACAATGAATTCCCAGCCATATAAGGATTGCTATCGTTGTATTTAGTCAGAATTTAGCGTCCAAATGAAGTCCCTGGACAGAAATTAAACGTAAAGATTAGACGAAACGAACCTCAGGAGAAAACTTAGTTACGAGATGGACGAGTTGCAATTCTCTTAATGACAGGCAGTGATCATCGATAAAATTCTAACCACAGAATAAAATACTTACTCTTTATAGCCATATAATACACGTCTTATAAATAATATACGTTATGATATACCTCACAGTGGCCAAACAGTCTACCTGCTAGCGCTCTGGGTTAGGGTTAGGGTTAGGGTTAACCCTCACAGTGGCCAAACAGTCTACCTGCTAGCGCTCTGTAACATATCACGGTAATAAATGACAGTCATAGTTTGCCGGAACTGTGTCAATATTGTCACGTGATTCTGGTGTTTTAGATATCAGCGGCTGGTCGTTCAAGACTACAAGCGTTTGTACAAAGCCAATAAAAACAAGTAACTTCGTAAGATATGGATCCAAAATGTTTCTTTGGTAAACCAATAGTTATAATATATAGCATTGAATACAATGATAAGTGTCAGAATTATCTCAATTTAAGGACTATATTTAGGTCGCAGTATTACTATCACTTGACAATTAATTGTGAAATGCCGGATAAAAGAGTTCCGCCCAAGAAAACACAACGAAATCTACCATTCATTACCGAGACCGATTCAGCTTTACGGAAACTGCCGAGGATTGCGGGATGTTGTTCAGTAAGTTTAGACGTGGGTTTGCTAATACAGTGATCCTGACAAGATGCGAATCATTCCTTCAGATTTATCAATATGTTTCTCAGTTAATATATCTTGATGCTGCTGGTCGGAGAGAACGGCCTGGTAAATTATCGATGTATTACGCAAAGCCTCGATGTTGTTTACTATACAAGAGCCAGAATTCTATTTAAATAGAGAAGACCTGTCTTAAAAGACTTGACAAAAACAGATCACTGACGTTATAACTGTACAAAGATTAAGATAAAAGGTTGGTAAATTACACACACCGATAACTGAAATGTGATTGGTTTACAAACCAGTTCAAAGAACTAATTTGGTCAGAAAAGAAAAGAAAATAGAAATGTAGGAATAGTTTGGAATAGAATTGGTTTGTTTTTACACAAAAGGAAAAGAAAGAAAACTCGTTAGAGTGCTAGTCTTATAATGGAATTGAAAACGTGACGTGCAGCCATTGACGTGGATCTACCAGAATAAAGAAGTTTATTTTCATCTCTTCTGATTGTTTTTCTAACTTCATATCAAAACAGTCTTTGATTTCGGACTGTGAAAATATTCATTTATTACAGTGGCAGCCTCCCGTGACTGGGGGTGCATATGAGGGGAGTAGGTGAGGGGGTCTGGTAGACTGACTTTACAACCTCCTCAGACTGGGGGTACATATAGGGAGGGAGAGAGTGAGGGGGCAGACTGGCTTAACAGCCCCCCGAGACTTGGGGTACATATGGGTAGGGGCGGGGACTGGGGTGGGTGGTAACTGACTTCTTGCGAGAATGTCAACAACAGCTTGGATCTTTGTTTAATGTAGAGAAACCATACCCCATGTTGTAGTTTTAGAAAGTGATAGGGGTAGTTCTATCAACTGGTATATTCAGACTTTGTTAAATAATGTATTTTTTCTCTAGGGCCGCATAATAAAATAGATAATGACACTTTTAAATTGTAAATCACCATTAATATTATATTTATTTTTCACAATTCATCTTCACAACTTACAACACTTTCATCTTCCCAACCTAAATTCCCTTTAAATAACACTTTCATCTTCCCAACCTAAATTATCTTTAAATAGCACTTTCATCTTCGCAACCTAAATTCCCTTTAAATAACACTTTCATCTTCCCAACCTAAATTATCTTTAAATAACACGTTCATCTTCCCAACCTAAATTATCTTTAAATAACACGTTCATCTTCCCAACCTAAATTCCCTTTAAATAACACTTTCATCTTCCCAACCTAAATTCCCTTTAAATAGCACTTTCATCTTCCCAACCTAAATTCCCTTTAAATAGCACTTTCATCTTCCCAACCTAAATTCCCTTTAAATAACACTTTCATCTTCCCAACCTAAATTCCCTTTAAATAACACTTTCATCTTCCCAACCTAAATTCCCTTTAAATAACACTTTCATCTTCCCAACCTAAATTCCCTTTAAATAACACTTTCATCTTCCCAACCTAAATTCCCTTTAAATAACACTTTCATCTTCCCAACCTAAATTCCCTTTAAATAACACTTTCATCTTCGCAATATTCATCGGAATCATCTTCGGAATCCAATAGATATTCCTCGCTACTGCTACATGATGAACTGATAAATGTCTCTGATGGTGGGACAGTATCTTTATCAGCAGTTTCTATAGAAATATCATCGTCGACTGCCAAGGGTCCTTGGTGTTCAATTGTTCTAATTTGTAACTTTGGCATCGTTTGTTCCTCGTTTTGATGAATTTCAAGCACTAAAGAGTCATCGTCATTTTCGCAAATTGGATTTGAAGCACTTGTTGCGAATGATTCCTCCTGATGTCGATGATGATGATGATGATGGTGATGATGGTTTTGATGATGATGTCTTTTGGCTGATGATTTGATTTTAGGTGTAACAGCTGAAAATACAAAAGAACAACAAGATCCAAGATTAGAGCCAGTACTAGTAATGAAACAAGAACACGACTTAAAGCTGAATCTCGTCAGATCGTGGATAACAAGTGACTTAACCTTCAATAAAATCATCCAGGTCTTATATTGTAATCGATTTCGTTTCTTAACTTATGATATTGTCCGTAGCTACATGGAGACAAAGGGGAGAAAAAATCTGACACCTGACCAATTCAATTACTGAAACTTAACACCATACACCGTATATATTACTTGTCCCTCCAGATATATTACTTGTCCCTCCAGATATATTACTTGTCCCTCCAGATATATTACTTGTCCCTCCAGATATATACTTGTCCCTCCAGATATATTACTTGTCCCTCCAGATATATTCTTGCCCCTCCAGATATATTACTTGCCCCTCCAGATATATTACTTGTCCCTCCAGCTATATTACTTGTCCCTCCAGATATATTACTTGTCCCTCAAGATATATTACTTGTCCCTCTAGATATTTACTTGTCCCTCCAGATATATTACTTGTCCCTCCAGATATATTACTTGTCCCTCCAGATATATTACTTGCCCCTCCTGATATATTACTTGTCCCTCTTGATATATTACTTGCCCCTCTTGATATATTACTTGTCCCTCCAAATATATTACTTGTCCCTCCAAATATATTACTTGTCCCTCCAGATATATTACTTGCCCCTCCTGATATATTACTTGCCCCTCTTGGTATATTACTTGCCGCTCCTGATATATTACTTGTCCCTCCTGATATATTACTTGCCCCTCCTGATATATTACTTGCCCCCCAGATATATTACCTGTCCCTCCAAATATATTACTTGTCTCTCCAGATATATTACTTGCCCCTCCAGATATATTACTTGCCCCTCTTGATATATTACTTGCCCCTCCGAACAATCAAGCCTGGGGATAAAAGTGGTTTTAAACTCACCCTGTAATTCCTGTCCTAGGTTTGTTTGTTTCATACAACAACACACGAATCTCAACAGTAACTTCTTATACCCTTCTCTATAGCTCTCTAGTAACAAACCATATAATACAGGATTTAACAAACCCGGAAGTGACGTAGCTAATAAGGCGTACATTAAAGCGGCTTCACTCACTTTTACATCAAACTTTTGAATGGTGATCATAATCTGAAAGAATTGAAATTCGGTTGATAAAATCTGGTACCACTATGCAGTACGCAATGAGAGAAAATGATAGTGGTAATAGTTTATAACAAAGACCAGTCGTCCAGGTTTAATTCCGTTGTCGGCAACTTCGTCTTTTCGATGTCAGACCCCCTCCTCCCCCCATTCCATCATACATCACTGACCAATTGATTGAAAATCTGAGGAACCACGACTGCTAGAGGCAAACATCGGCAAACTATCCACGAAAAGGGGACCTGACTTTTACGCCCAAATCTCAATGACGATATTCCACGAACTAATTATATCTGCCCTTTCGTCCATGACAAATTGATTCTGTCTAGTCTAACAGTAACGTAATACATAGATAATCAAACTATTGAGATCAGATTTTACAGATTGATTTATCTGAAAACCAATAAATACTCATTACTTTAACCCTGGTACTCATCGATTTCATCGCCGTAAACTCAGTCACACTAAATCTACTAGCTAGATCAGATCTACATCGACCTCTCTCACCAATATATTCATGTAGACCATTCTCTGGACACCGCTAGACCATTCGCTAGACCATTTGACAACATTCTCTGACCTCTCACTCGAGGTTGTAAATTGTTTCTGATTGTAAAGGAACTAAAATAATGAAACAAAAATCTTACTGCAGCTGGAATCCACGTTGATTGATTCAGAATGACTAAAACTAGAACTGTTTTTGTATGACTTCCATTGAAATGTCGGTGTTGTTCATCTAATAGTTGAAATTCTGTATTACGAACTGGAGGATCCTGACTACCTAGTTTTTGTCCGAGTCTAGGGTAATGTACAACTATAGAAATAAAAGTACAGCACACCAGGGTCACGGCGATATTAGAATACACAAAACTCAGAAAGGCAATGAAGTAAACTTGCCTTCTACCAGGCGAGGGGGTTGACACAATCCATGATTCACAACTTGTATTGGCTTTCATCACTTCCGGTCCGTATCCAATCACCGGAAGTGTAGCCACAGACAGAGTTAATGTATATAATGAAAATAAAATTACACCGGCACTGTCTTTACTGTCGCTTCCGGATCGCCAACCAAAACAAGGGCACAAGAAATTGTGACGTTCTACACACATATAGGTCACGACGGCCATTGTGGATAAACTGCACCACGTAGTCGTGACCTGAAAGCACTCGCACGTGGCTTTACCACCATACCAACTACCGTGGAAGAAAGACACCAAACCGAGGGGAGTTGGAATCAATGCTGAAAGAATATAGGTGAGACTAATGGCGGCTATCAATTTGTCTGTCACTAATCGTTCGATTGGTCTTTTCCACCATAGTGCCACGGCCAGCGGTAACAAATTCTCCAAGAGCAAGAAAACTTCCAGCACGACCGTGACCACACCAGAGAAATGAACATCAGGCGTGGCGCCAGTGCCTCGTCGAACACCACTTGGGATGTGATGGCGTCCAGAGCTATCCATTCAATCTGAAAAGAGTTAAGGGAAGGTATCTTTAAGTTTGTAGAGAGTAGAAATTGATTTTCAATATTGATTGAAAGAATAATTAAAGAAACTGTTTAGATATGAGTTGAAGGATGTTTTTCTAAACGCTGTTACAGACAATTCAACAACCTTTTGTCAATAATCATATCCTCATTTGTATCTTAAAATAACTCTATAGGAGACTGCTTGCAACATGAGGTAAATTTTACTCGGCTCAGATAATGGGGTGAGCAACTTAATGCAGTGTGCAATGGAGGAAGGGTAATAACATTAGCCCACTCATTCAATACAGATATATACAAGTCTAATACAGGTACCTATATAGACGTTCGTAAACTATTACATCTGCTCCTGGCTCGGCTAATGAACACGGATAACCCACGGCAGTGTCCAATGAGAGGAATGTTTACCAAGGCGGTGACATTAACCGACTCATTCGATGACGACAGACAGTATAAATCATAACATTTAGATCAACATTCTATCCAGAATTCAAACCACGACATTGTTTCTGAGGCTTGGTGGATGTATTTAAGTTTAATATTAGGATTGTATCTATAAGATAATATCTAGTAGAATAGAAGATTTGAAGCACCATTAAAACATGGTAATACGTCATTGTGTTCAATCCCCTACGGTTATCAGATTAAAGCAGGTTTAAAACAAGCCGATATTGTGAATAAAGAAGGAGAAAAAGTCGTTGTTCCGTATTAAGAAGTAATATTATTATTAAACGCCTGTAGGCTGAGGTTAGTTAGAATTGAATTGTAATCTGACGCTGTATCGAGATTCTAATTTCTTCCTGATAGAAAGACCAGATTAATCTATTGAATAGTAATAGTAAAAGGACAAACAACACAAATTTGATTTCAGAATACAAAATAAAAAACAGATACTATAATCAATGACGTTTCTACGAAGCATTATGTTGTATTTGATATGAACAAGCAAATTACATTGTCTAGTCTACGTCGTATGTTTTATTTGATACGAACACGTAAATTACATTGTCTAGTCTACGTCGTATGTTGTATTTGATACGAACAAGCAAATTATATTGTCAAGTCTACGTCGTATGTTGTATTTGATACGAACAAGTAAATTATATTGTCAAGTCTACGTCGTATGTTGTATTTGATACGAACAAGTAAATTAAATTGTCAAGTCTACGTCGTATGTTATATTTGATACGAACAAGCAAATTATATTGTCAAGTCTACGTCGTATGTTGTATTTGATACCAACAAGTAAATTATATTGTCAAGTCTACGTCGTATGTTGTATTTGATACGTACAAGCAAATTACATTGTCAAGTCTACGTCGTATGTTGTATTTGATACGAACAAGTAAATTATATTGTCAAGTCTACGTCGTATGTTGTATTTGATACGAACAAGTAAATTATATTGTCAAGTCTACGTCGTATGTTGTATTTGATACGAACAAGTAAATTATATTGTCAAGTCTACGTCGTATGTTGTATTTGATACGAACAAGTAAATTATATTGTCAAGTCTACGTCGTATGTTGTATTTGATACCAACAAGTAAATTAAATTGTCAAGTCTACGTCGTATGTTGTATTTGATACCAACAAGTAAATTATATTGTCAAGTCTACGTCGTATGTTGTATTTGATACGAACAAGTAAATTATATTGTCAAGTCTACGTCGTATGTTGTATTTGATACCAACAAGTAAATTATATTGTCAAGTCTACGTCGTATGTTGTATTTGATACGAACAAGCAAATTACATTGTCAAGTCTACGTCGTATGTTTTATTTTATACGAACAAGTAAATTACATTGTCTAGTCTACGTCGTATGTTGTATTTGATATGAACAAGCAAATTACATTAAGTCTACGTTGTATATTGTCTTTGAAACGAATAAACAAATTACATTGTCAAGTCTACGTCGTATGTTGTATTTGATACGAACAAGCAAATTACATTGTCAAGTCTACGTCGTATGTTTTATTTTATACGAACAAGTAAATTACATTGTCTAGTCTACGTCGTATGTTGTATTTGATACGAACAAGCAAATTATATTGTCAAGTCTACGTCGTATGTTGTATTTGATACGAACAAGTAAATTACATTGTCAAGTCTACGTCGTATGTTTTATTTTATACGAACAAGTAAATTACATTGTCTAGTCTACGTCGTATGTTGTATTTGATACGAACAAGCAAATTATATTGTCAAGTCTACGTCGTATGTTGTATTTGATACGAACAAGTAAATTACATTGTCAAGTCTACGTCGTATGTTGTATTTGATACGAACAAGTAAATTAAATTGTCAAGTCTACGTCGTATGTTGTATTTAATACGAACAAGTAAATTACATTGTCAAGTCTACATCGTATATTGTATTTGATATGAACAAGTAAATTACATTGTCAAGTCTACGTCGTATGTTTTATTTGATACGAACAAGTAAATTACATTGTCTAGTCTACGTCGTTTGTTGTATTTGATACGAACAAGCAAATTACATTGTCAAGTCTACATCGTATGTTGTATTTGATACGAACAAGCAAATTAAATTGTCAAGTCTACGTCGTATGTTGTATTTGATATGAACAAGCAAATTACATTAAGTCTACGTCGTATGTTGTATTTGATACGAACAAGAAAATTAAATTGTCAAGTCTACGTCGTATGTTTCATTTGATACAAACAAGTAAATTACATTGTCCAGTCTACGTCCCCATATTTTGTATAATATTGAGAAGCAATGACAGGTGTGACACCAGGCAGAGTATTTTTATTTTCTAGACACTATCAATAACCTTTGAACAAGCTACCAAAAAGTCTACATAAAAATATACGTTGTAATCCTAGACGATACTAATACCTACTAATAATATTGAACAATACCAGGATTACAGACAGTGACATCTAGATATAATAATACCAGGATTACAGACAGTGACATCTGGATATAATAATACCAGGATTACAGACAGTGACATCTAGATATAATAATACCAGGATTACAGACAGTGACATCTGGATATAATAATACCAGGATTACAGACAGTGACATCTAGATATAATAATACCAGGATTACAGACAGTGACATCTGGATATAATAATACCAGGATTACAGACAGTGACATCTAGATATAATAATACCAGGATTACAGACAGTGACATCTGGATATAATAATACCAGGATTACAGACAGTGACATCTGGATATAATAATACCAGGATTACAGACAGTGACATCTAGATATAATAATACCAGGATTACAGACAGTGACATCTGGATATAATAATACCAGGATTACAGACAGTGACATCTAGATATAATAATACCAGGATTACAGACAGTGACATCTGGATATAATAATACCAGGATTACAGACAGTGACATCTAGATATAATAATACCAGGATTACAGACAATGACATCTAGATATAATAATACCAGGATTACAGACAGTGACATCTAGATATAATAATACCAGGATTACAGACAGTGACATCTGGATATAATAATACCAGGATTACAGACAGTGACATCTAGATATAATAATACCAGGATTACAGACAGTGACATCTGGATATAATAATACCAGGATTACAGACAGTGACATCTAGATATAATAATACCAGGATTACAGACAATGACATCTAGATATTATAATACCAGGATTACAGACAGTGACATCTAGATATAATAATACCAGGATCACAGACAGTGACATCTGGATATAATAATACCAGGATTACAGACAGTGACATCTATATATAATAATACCAGGATTACAGACAGTGACATCTATCCAGGATTACAGACAGTGACATCTAGATATAATAATACCAGGATTACAGACAGTGACATCTAGATATTATAATACCAGGATTACAGACGGTGACATCTAGATATAATAATACCAGGATTACAGACAATGCTATCTAGATATTATATCATCGTATCTTATCTCCAGACTTCCAACAACATGTTCATTTTAACATTGAGACCAAACCAAAATAATTTTCTGTTCTTCAGGATTACTTGGAGAAAAAACTTCTAAAACAGTCATTGATTTGGATATTTCGATATAACTATTTTTTTTTATTCAATATCTTTATAATATTTAGTAAGTTTTGACTTCTAATTTTTCATTTTATTTTCAATTTTCATAAAAAAAAAACAATGTCAATAAAATTAATCATTAACAAAAGGAAAACCACATCTTTATTATTCTAATTAGTAATATCAAGTCCCTGTGTTATCACAGCAACAATATCAAGTCTCTGTGTTATCACAGCAACAATATCAAGTCCCTCTGTTATCATAGCAACAATATCAAGTCCCTGTGTTTTCATAGCAATAATATCAAGTCCCTGTGTTATCATAGCAACAATATCAAGTCTCTGTGTTATCACAGCAACAATATCAAGTCCCTGTGTTATCATAGCAACAATATCAAGTCCCTGTGTTATCACAGCAACAATATCAAGTCTCTGTGTTATCACAGCAACAATATCAAGTCCCTGTGTTATCATAGCAACAATATCAAGTCCCTGTGTTATCACAGCAACAATATCAAGTCTCTATGTTATCATAGCAACAATATCAAGTCCCTATGTTATCATAGCAACAATATCAAGTCCCTGTGTTATCATAGCAACAATATCAAGTCCTTGTGTTATCACAGCAACAATATCAAGTCTCTGTGTTATCACAGCAACAATATCAAGTCCCTCTGTTATCATAGCAACAATATCAAGTCCCTGTGTTATCATAGCAACAATATCAAGTCCGTGTGTTATCACAGCAACAATATCAAGTCCCTATGTTATCATAGCAACAATATCAAGTCCCTGTGTTATCATAGCAACAATATCAAGCCCCTGTGTTATCACAGCAACAATATCAAGTCCCTGTGTTATCACAGCAACAATATCAAGTCCCTCTGTTATCATAGCAACAATATCAAGTCCCTGTGTTATCATAGCAACAATATCAAGTCCGTGTGTTATCACAGCAACAATATCAAGTCCCTATGTTATCATAGCAACAATATCAAGTCCCTGTGTTATCATAGCAACAATATCAAGTCCCTGTGTTATCACAGCAATAATATCAAGTCCCTGGGTTGAAGTAGATATATACATAGATATAAATAGCATATTTTAGAAATATTTTCAGGTATAATTTACAACGTTATTTGACAATGAAAATTGTGCATACTGCCCTGTAGAAATAAAAATATTGATGATATACATGTATTATATATTCTATTTAGAGATAGATGGAAGAAGTAGACAAAATATTCCTGATTAACTTATTCCATGAATATTGAGAATTGTTGTTTATTGAATTTGGTTCCTATTAGTGCTGGAATTCTTCTGGTATGTCTGAGAATGGAACGATAATGAAATTGTCTTGAAGTTCGCAGGTCGGAGCAGGTCAAATAAATATCATCATCTATTAACTTTATCCAAGTTTTTACAATTTCCTGTTTTTACAAACTAGGCCAAATTAACTGAAGATTTATAACTGTACTCAAATGATTTCAATGGTATCTTAGAAAATGATTAGACAAGGCGTTTTGGGGTTTTATGGGGCGTATTCACTCTGACTATCCATTTGTAAAATGTGATTTATGGTCTAACGACTATAGTCAAGTTAGATTACACAACTTGACAATAAAAACCTCGTTTGAAATATCTTAAAAGTTGGTCAAACACCGACACGGGAAATAAATTCTTTGTTAAAACAGAGATAAACATGATTTAAAAGATGGCTTGAGTTTCAGGGATATCTTCAAAGCGATATTCGAGACGTTATCAATAGATTTTAATAGCTTCAGACATATTTTGATATATTGGCAATTTCGGTAAAATACGATAAAATTTGACATTTTGATGAAGTGGCCAGAACGTCTAGTCTTTTATGGTTTATGTCGTTCACCAGGGGATTTCCCCGGATTACTGGTGCTAAAATTCGATAACCAATAAAAAAAAACAAAAACCGCAGATAATATCTGAAATATTTATAAACCAAAAAATATATTTCTACTTATTCTACAGGTTTCAACTGAAAATATCCAGTCTTCACGAGGTCCATCACCAAAACTAGTTTTAGCTATTTACTTAACAATAATACATTCTGTTTTTTATTAACCCTTTTAAAACAAATTCAGTTTGATCAAGTAGATACATAGATATAAATAACATACTTTAGAAATACTTTCAGGTATAATTTACAACGTTTTTAATTAACCCTTTTAAAACAAATTCAGTTTGATCAAGTAGATACATAGATATAAATAGCATACTTCAGAAATATTTTCAGGTATAATTTACAACGTTTTTAATTAACCCTTTTAAAACAAATTCAGTTTGATCAAGTAGATACATAGATATAAATAACATATTTTAGAAATATTTTCAGGTGTAATTTACAACGTTTTTAATTAACCCTTTTAAAACAAATTCAGTTTGATCAAATAGATACATAGATATAAATAACATACTTTAGAAATATTTTCAGGTGTAATTCATGACGTTTTTAATTAACCCTTTTAAAACAAATTCAGTTTGATCAAGAAGATACATAGATATAAATAATATACTTTAGAAATATTTTCAGGTATAATTTACAACGTTTTTAATTAACCCTTTTAAAACAAATTCAGTTTGATCAAGAAGATACATAGATATAAATAACATACTTTAGAAATATTAGTACCGTCTCTTTAAGTCATTTAACCGGTCCTCGTCCTTTAAAACTTGTCTTCAGTTACTGGTGATTTAATCATGACAGAATATTAATTCAATATAAATGAATGAACACATCAAATTAGATTAAAGCCTTGATTATCGAATTTTCTAAACGTATTTTTGCTGGAATAATGGATATATTCGACAAGTTCTGCCTCTTTTCAATTTAGTAAAATATCAAGTTTTTTGTTGATTAAATGATGTAAGCCGTATTTCGACGTATTAATGTTTGTATACGATCATATAAAAAACACGATTTCCATGTTGACCCCTGTTTCAATTCAAATCAACAAAATTCATAATCAAATAATATTACCTGTTAGAACTTGATAACTTCAATAAAAACCATGGAAATAAGACAGCCTCGAGCTAGTTATCTGATAATCGATCAAATTGTACCTTAGAGATCCGATATATAGATCCGATATATACTGAAATACGGTGGATAAAGTACACTAGGTCCGATAAATACTGGAATACGACGGATACTATACGATATATCCGATAAACACTGGAATATGGTGGATACTGTACGATAGATCCGATATATACTGAAATACGGTGGATACAGTACAATAGATCCGATATATACTGGAATACGGTGGATACTGTACGATAGATCCGATATGTACTGGAATACGGTGGATATTGTACGATAGATCCGATATATACTGGAATACGGTGGATACTGTAAAATATATCCGATATATACTGGAATACGATGGATACAGGAAGATATATCCGATATATACTGAAATACGGTGGATATTGTACGATAGATCCGATATATACTGGAATACGGTGGATACTGTAAGATATATCCGATATATACTGGAATACAATGGATACAGGAAGATATATCCGATATATACTGGAATACGGTGGATACTGTAAGATATATCCGATATATACTGGAATACGGTGGTTACAGTACGATAGATCCGATATATACTGGAATACGGTGGATACTGTAAGATATATCCGATATGTACTGGAATACGGTAGATACTGTACAATAGATCCGTTATATACTGGAATACGGTGGATACTGTAAGATAGATCCGATATATACTGAAATACGGTGGATACTGTAAGATAGATCCGATATATACTGAAATACGGTGGATACTGTAAGATAGATCCGATATATAATGAAATACGGTGGATACTGTAAGATAGATCCGATATATAATGAAATACGGTGGATACTGTAAGATAGATCCGATATATAATGAAATACGGTGGATACTGTAAGATAGATCCGATATATAATGAAATACGGTGGATACTGTAAGATAGATCCGATATATACTGAAATACGGTGGATACTGTAAGATAGATCCGATATATAATGAAATACGGTGGATACTGTAAGATAGATCCGATATATAATGAAATACGGTGGATACTGTAAGATAGATCCGATATATAATGAAATACGGTGGATACTGTAAGATAGATCCGATATATAATGAAATGCGGTGGATACTGTAAGATAGATCCGATATATACTGAAATACGGTGGATACTGTAAGATAGATCCGATATATAATGAAATACGGTGGATACTGTAAGATAGATCCGATATATAATGAAATACGGTGGATACTGTAAGATAGATCCGATATATACTGGAATACGGTGGATACTGTAAGATATATCCGATATATACTGGAATACGATGGATACTGTAAAATAGATCCGATATATACTGGAATGCGGTAGATACTGTAAGATAGATCCGATATAAAAGTTATTCTATGAGTAATTCTATATGTTATTCTATAAGTAATTCTATATGTTATTCTATAAGTTATCAATATATTTATCAATTTGTCAAGTTTCGTCTCAGAATTCAGTCACTCGCTGCTGGCTCTGTCAAACTATGTTAAATTCTGTCAAACTCTCAAGTATGTTATTTGACTGAAATTTGACTGTTTTCGTCGTTAATTCTTCAACTTCACGCCTATGTTGCATCTGAAGATTAATTAATCAGAAAAACAATCTGGGTATTCTATTAGTTATTATTATTGTTACTTCCAAAAGATATAGCCATCATAGTAACACTGTATTTTAGCTTTGTCACTTTTACAGAATTCTCAGGGTTTCCTTAATATTTTGTAATTCATTCCTTCTGTTTCAAACGGTGATTCCAATGGTATTCCACACTTGATATCTATGTCGGTAATAGTGCATCTTTCAAGCAATCTTCCTAATTCGGTGTATCTCTTTAAAATATACTTCAATATATCACTAATATTAATATTGCCAATCCTTCATGATTCTAATCCCAGCAAATTATTTTCATTCTCCAGCGATCAATTGTTCGAGCGATTTAAACTGCGGGTATAATTTCATAGGATAAAATGTCTGTCTGAACGACATCTGTCGAATTGTTTCGATCGTTTAAATAAATAGCTCAAACACAGACTGGAGTTGTTCAAGACGGCAATAAATTGTTCCTGATATTTAGAATTCGTTCCAGGAACTGATGAAGGTACGGAATGGTTTGCAGAATGAACGAGACTATCGTAAACAAATTGTGCTAATAGAAGTTACCAATAAAATACTAGTGATATCGAGAACAATTGATAAAATCTATTTAAAGACAATTGAATTAATATCGAACAAGATTCAGAATATTGCGTAATTACTTTTTACCTTGATAAATTTCTAAACATTTTCAACTGTCAGAAAAACGTCTGGAAAACGTTTTACGACACGTGACATTCATCTCACAATCCAAGTAACCTGTAGTAAAAACGTCATTTCACATTTTGTATTAAGTCAAATTATTGGTGGTTACAGAACTGGGAATGTAAAACCTCCGAATACCTGAAACAAACCTCTAGTTAATAAACAGAAGCAGTTCGTAACCACCAATATCGTTGAACTTTTAGAAAAAATCACAAACGATCGCAGTTTTAAATATGATACAGAAGATCAACCTATAGAGCCACGGCAACTTAGAGACATTTCCATTCAATCAAACCACTAGTTATAACAAGAGACGAGTTGAAGGAAGTAGACCTGACTTGGTTCCGTATAAAATTTAATCTGTGTTTAACAAGTCCTCATTTATCTTATCTTCCTTCCATCATTCTCAGCTAGAACTTTTAATATCAGCTAGAACTTTTAATATCAACTAGAACTTTTAATATCAACTAGAACTTTTAATATCAACTAGAACTTTTAATATCAACTAGAACTTTTAATATCAACTAGAACTTTTAATATCAGCAAGAACTTTTAATATCAGCTAGAACTTTTAATATCAGCTAGAACTTTTAATATCAGCAAGAACTTTTAATATCAACTAGAACTTTAAATATCAACTAGAACTTTTAATATCAACTAGAACTTTTAATATCAGCTAGAACTTTTAATATCAGCTAGAACTTTTAATATCAACTAGAACTTACTTTTATTATCAGCTAGAACTTTTAATATCAGCTAGAACTTTTAATATCAACTAGAACTTTTAATATCAACTAGAACTTTAAATATTAGCTAGAACTTTTAATATCAGCTAGAACTTTTAATATCAGCTAGAACTTTTAATATCAGCTAGAACTTTTAATATCAACTAGAACTTACTTTTATTATCAGCTAGAACTTTTAATATCAACTAGAACTTTTAATATCAGCTAGAACTTACTTTTAATATCAGCTAGAACTTTTAATATCAACTAGAACGTTTAACATCAGCAAGAACTTTTAATATCAGCTAGAACTTTTAATATCAACTAGAACTTTAAATATTAGCTAGAACTTTTAGTATCAGCTGGAACTTTTAATATCATCTTCATTCAGTTCGACTCCCTCACTAACTCACTTAAAAAATCACGTGTCTTGTAGTGTTTCTATTTTCCGAAATGAAAGTATACACTGACTCGACCTGCGGACTTGATTTTACTTAGTTTTGTCCAGATTTGTTACATTGAAGATCGTGCGACGTTGCATGTAAACTGTAAAGCCAATATGAGTATCACAAAACAGGTTTGATTGGGTGACACAAACACACGCAGAACGCACAAAGGAGTCAGAAGTAACGTGATGGCCAGTACCACGTTCCACGTTGTCAAGTACAACCAAACATGCGATTGGCTAGTGCAAGTATTCACTTCATTTCACTTCCGCGTCATTCAGCTTAAATTTCAGTTAATAACTTCCGTGTAATAACACAGGCCTATTCAGTGGTTCGGGTAATGACTGGTTTTATAGAAAGTCTATCATTTTCCTATAAAAACCCTGTTGTAGTATATAATAGTTGATATTGACTAAACACTGAAAGTTTCCCTACAATTCATTACATTCTATAATCATAGTATTCAATACAAACCACTCAACCAAAACTCCTCCCTCCCCGTAACAACCGATTTATGATTAGAAATACCGCCAGTAAATTGACTGGTCCCGCATCACGTCTATCGTTTCCGTCTAAAACCAATCATCGTATTAGCTAATCTAAGTATCCATTCCAAACTATCCAGCTAGAACTCCGGCTTGAAATAAAGGAAACGTTTTTACGAGGAAGTTGTCGATATCCGTTCAAACTCCGTAATGAATAGACTTGCAGTGGTGGCGGTTTCCTCTCTGTAAAAACCTAATGAATACTTGAGTTGTGTTGACTAGTTCCTCTCTATCTCTTAAAGTTCTATAGAATTTCTAACGAGCTGTCGTCTCCATTATTTAATTAATAGGAAGCGATAGAAGGAAAGAAAGAGAGGCGTTATGTAGATCTGTTCTCTCGATATTGATCTAGTACAGTAGATTACCTTAAAGATGGGAGGCCGAACAAATGATTAACTTATAGCGTCTAATAGATTTTCTTAAGTGGACTAATTTTCAGTCCATATCGATAACGAGGAATAGGACCTGCCCTAGTGTCATCAAGCTGGCAATCTCACGAACTAGGATTTAAATCTTGGCTTGATTATTGATTAACATTGTACAGGACCACAAAAAAATAATTTACATTCTCTTAAAGTTAGGTTTTCAATCACAGGGACATGTTCCCAAACGACAGAAAACTTTGACCAAGATAACGACAACTCGTCTTTAGATGTAACATTCGACAATGATAAAAATTATCATCTATATCTGTAGATGTCTGATTTATGATAAAAAGGAAATTGTGTACATGAAAAGACTGAGGACGGTTTGAATACCAACATGTAGTTGACATTCAAACTATAAATATAGACCAACCAGTCCATGCTTTGAAGAGGTTCCAGTGGTCTCCTCAGAGGTTTACAGACTGAAGTAAGAATAATTAAGTTAAAGCTAGACTGACGTAGAGGGTTTTGATCAACATCCTTCATCGTTTCAACAACTGTTAATGTCAGATTTAAACCTTAAAAAGGTCATAGCATTATCGTTTTCATTATTTTTATAATTTCATACGACGATCAGTGTATCCTTTCCAATAAATAACTCGGATCGTATTTTGTTATTAAGATTTAGTGTCATTCATTGAAGATATTTTCAGTTCAGTAGTCCAGTTTGATATAGACTGTGAGAAAGGTAATAATTTCCCGGAAGTTACAACAAACTTCACTGAATTTTAAATCTTAACAATCACGTTCTCGAGTTCTGTCAACTTGTAAATTGAAGAATTAGGATTCTCTCTTCCTTTAAAAGATGAAAATTGAATGATGTAAAGAAAGAAATATTATGATGAAGAGATAATGACGGTAGATAATGACGAAGTTTAATGATAATGATTTTATTAATGATTATTTGTTGAAGGTTATTTTAGTACCAAAATAGATACAACCAACAGATAAGTTCGTTGATTTAAGAAAATTATGTTGACAATGTAGAAAAAATTATCTTTTCTTATTTAGGTAATGTACAATAATTACGTGCGTCTATTTTCTCCATTCTGAATTCCAGGCTGCGTTTCCTGATAACTCTTTACAAAACCATATTGATAATATCAAAAACTAGAATTAAAACTCGATTACTGCCTGTTACTATGAAGATTAACAGAAATACACGTCTGCAGTATGAGATGAACCCCAGACCGAATCAGATCCATCAACTGTAAAATATATTTCACAAAGTATCTGTCATAAACAAGACGAGTACCAAATCAACAAGAAAATACAAACTTCATTAAACATTTTAAGACCCATTTATAACCATTTCAAGTTTCATTTTAGACACAAAACCAATCAGATTTTCCGCGATAAAACTCGGGGTTTTAAACGGGTATTTGATGTGAAGCGATAAAAGCGCTGCTAGTTTTAGAAAGTATAGATAATAAAACTCTAGCCACTGTGAAGATAAATTATGGAGACAAAAACTCTGTTTAATGAAGTGATCCGGTTTAGAACATGACAGGATTCTTTATAGTGTTCTGTTTATTCACCATTTAAATTTCCACACCCGATTCCTGTAACGCATCTAAAGCCTGACGCACACGATTAAAACATTGTCTGTCGTGTACGTCAACAGTTGAATTCTGAGAGGGTGGGGGTAGAGGGTAGGGGGTAGAGGGTAGAGGGTAGAGGGTAGGGGGTAGTGGTAGGGGTAGGGGTAGGCGGTAGGCGGTAGGGGGTAGGGGGTAGGGGGTAGGAGGTAGGGGGTAGGGGGTAGGGGGTATGTGTTGGAGGGTTTTAGGGGGGACGCAGGATCCACACATTATCAAACACATTGGCGACGGTAAATGTTGAAGTGTTTTAAAAGTTTTCTTCTCGATAAGAACCAGAAGATCAATATTGGTTAACATGAGACGTAAAACACCATTCATTTCTTAAACATAAAA